CTGGGAGCATTTGCCTGGGTTTTTGCAAGCCTATGCTTGGATCACTGTAGACTTTTTCATTTGGTTTACCAGAATTTTACGTTTATTCTAACTTTAGCAGCCAGTGAGCTTCTGATCTGTACATCTTTGCCCAAACCAGGAGTTGTGAGATAAATCATTATGGCTTTATGTTTCAGTGATTACTGGTGAGTTTGGATGTATTTTATGTTTATTGATCATTCCTATTTCTTTTGCTGTAAACCTTCTTTTTAAATATATGCCTATTCTGTCTAGTTTGAAACCCGGCATTTTGTCTTTTTTATCTTTCAGTCTTTGGCCTTTTATATCTTTCTGTCCTTGTTTTCATTTATCTTTTGTTAAATTTGTGTTATATTTTAGTCAGGCTTCTGTGTCTTTTGGTTCATTATTGTTGTAAGAATTCTAAAGCCTGGTTTACTCTTCATGTTTATACATTTAATTTGCATAGACTTGAATCTTTTTTTTTTTTTTTTTTTTTTTTAATATTTTGAGACAGGTTCTTGCTATATATCTAGTCTGGTCTTGAACTTTTCATCTTTCTGCCTCAGCTTACCAGAGTGCTGGGATTATGGGAATGGACCACAATGCTTAACTAGAATTAGTTCTTATGTATTGTGAGAGAATTAGTTCTTATGTGTTTTATTTTTCCATGTTGATAAAATGTCCAAATATTATTAACCTTTCACATTTTTTTCTTTTTAAAATTAACTTCAGATTTAAGAAAAAGTTAAAATAGTACAAAGAATTACCAGTGACTTCACCCAGATTTATCAAATGTTAATATTTAATATTTTTTGCATGTTGCTTAGGTTTTCTCCCTCCTTACCCTAGAAGAAACACATGATTTTGTTTTTGGATCATTCAAGTTAACAGAAATATGCCTTTTCAGCCCTGAATACTTAATTGTGTATTTATTGAAAGCCAGAACATTTTTATTACAACAATGTAATTATTAATATCAGGAAATTAATATTGATGAAGAGCTTGTTTGCAGGACCTGTTCATATGCTGCCACTTTGCCTGTTAGTGTCTTTTTGGGCAAAATAATGATCTGTTTTTCTGGTAACAAGGTTGCATTTGATCAGATGCTGCTTCTGAATACAACATTTTCATGTATGTCTGCTTTGGGGCTCTTCTTTTTTTATTAGCCTATTGATTTCTGCACTAATTCTGCATTATTCTCACTGTATAAGCTGATGAGGAAATCTTAATAGGCAGTGTTCCTCTGTTTTTCCTTTTTAAAATCAAATATTTGAGTTCTAAACTTCTGAGAATTTAGAGAATTCTAAACTGAGAATTTAATGTTTAAATGTTTTTATTAATACTTTAAGCACTGTAAAACTAGAAAGTAAATCCCTATTTCTTGTTTTTTAAATTTTATCTTTTTGGCAGTACTGGGGCTTGAACCCAGGGCCGTTGCACTGAGGTGTATTTTTTGGCCCCTTTTAATTTTTAACGTTTGAGTCAGGGTCTCAAATGGTTGCCAAGTTGCTGAACTCAAACTTGATTCTCCTGTAGCATCCTTCCGAAGAGCAGGAATTACAGGCATACACCACCATGTCTGGTGCTATTTTTGATCTGAATCTCCTAGAATGGAAATTCACAGTGGTGTACTGATTAGGATACTTGAATATGAATAGTATTAAGAAGCCTGAAGTCAATCCTTGATTTGTTTTAACTAATCAAGTTGACCAATTGGTCCCATAACCTTTTTTTTGTCTGTCTTGAGACCCAGAGTATAGATCTTTCACTGTAACTTTTGTGATGCAATATCCCCACCTTGTGGCTTTTTTCTCTTTGCAGGAGTTAGTTAGGTAAAATGAGACCAGCATGTTCTAGCCCCACATTGAAAACATAGCTTACTCCGTATTTTTGGTTGAGTAAAATAACAAAATCATCATAGCAGCTGTAATCTTTAAATGTTAGCATTGCCAGTAATGGGTATGTTAATCTTAGAATCACTTTTCCAAAATGCTATATAGAGGGATGGTGAAAAGTGTAACCGTAACTAGTTTGTCACATTTAGGACACTTAAGGGAACTAATTTTACTTTGTTTTCTTTGTAGTTTTAGATGCTTATAAAGGTTACCTGACTGAATTGGTTACAAACAGGAGGCAAAAAATTCAACTCAAATTTAGAATTATCATAATGGTTGTTTCTTCGATATCGGGGATTGAACTCATGACTGCCTGCTTGCAAGGCAGGTGCTTATGCTGCTAAGCTAAATCCCCAGCCCCATCCTATTGTGTTAGATTATCTGGGGGTGAAACACAATGATGCTTAAATTGTTCGGTTCTGACCTGTGTTGTTCTGTTACAGTGTCCTCTTTTATCTCAGTCTCCACCCTTTTTAAAAAATTAATTATTTTTTTCTTTTTTTTTTTTTAAATTAAGGGAAAACTAGATTGGGAAATAGCGGGATATATTATAGTAACTTTTTGTTTTCCTATTGACCTGATTTGAACTCTAGTGTTGCTCTCCCCATCTTGTTCTGTCTGATTTTGCTGTGTTCTATTTTGTTTGATGGTGTCAAGTTTGAGGATACAGGCAACCGCTTTGGAGTCAATGGGATTTACTGTGATGCCCATTATGGTTTGACTATTGTCTTCTTTTGAAGTCCTGTAAGGTCTCCAGTGTAGGTTTTGTTGGTCTTGTTCTGTACTGTTTTGATCAATTCTATTATACCTGATGATATAAGGCAACTCTTTTTAAAAATAGCAAGAGGCACAATGGTAGCCATTTTTGATCACCTGATACTCTGTTTTTGCATCATGTACTGTGCCCATCCTTCTGTTCTGACTCTGTTTTGTTTAGTCACGTTAGGTTTTATTCTCTTCAAAAAAAGTAATAAGAACTGTGGGAGTAAAAAAATCCAGAAAGTGTGGTTGTTATTGTAAAAAAGAGAGGAAAGGAAGATGGTCTAAGGGATGTAACTGCATGTATGTTTGAGTGTGTAGGATGGAAAACTATATTACTGAGCTTTTGTTGGATCATTGAACGGAACTGTCTGCAATGTCACTGTATGAATGTCCACTTTATATGCTTTAGTTTTATAATTTGGACAACTGTTTCTAAGATGCAGTGTGTAACCTATTAACTAGTGATTTCTTACTGTATATTTTTTCCTTGAAATTCTGTATTATTTGTACCCTGTTACTGCTTTGTTTTTTAATTTCCTTTCTTTTTTTCTCTTAAAAAAATTAGAATTATTCCTGGGGGAATAACTTGATAATGACAAGGATAATCAGGGTTGTTTACTATTACTTCAGAGAGAGCAGTTCAGTAGCAGTAGATTATGGGGATTATGACTACTGCTTTCAAAAAATAAGAAAAGTAGTTGTCTCAGTGTTATATAAATAGAAATTTAGAACTTAAGATAAATTTCCATACAGAAATTCGTAAGGAGCTATTATTGTCAACAACTTAAGATGGAGGTAAATCGAAGTTTTAGGTCATTCCATTTAATATGGATCCTAAAATGATCATAGTCAACATTTGTTTAAGGTGAATTACCTTAGGAAGTTTCACAGTGATACATTTGAGGTAGGAACTGTTGTTATCTGACTTTAACTACTGAGTAACACTTGTCAGGGTGACCCTGAGAAGTCACGTGAGCTCCTCAGTTTCCAGTGCTTTTAGGATTAAATAGAAAAACTTAAAATATCACTTAATGTATATATAAACAAATGTTTAAGATTTGTTACTATGATTTATAACACTTCTTAAATTCTGTACTTATGATTTCCAGTCATTTTTACAAAGCATAGTACATGAAGTGTAGCTAATGTTCGTTTGATTTTAAAGGTATACTGTATACCTTTCATTATATGTGCAGAAGGATTACTATGAAATAGGAAATAAAAGAGGTGTTTTGGTTTCAGAGGGTGAGAGAAGTTACACAAAATGATATAGCTGCTTTTAAGGAGATGGCATTTTTTTCTTCTTACCTTGAAATTTTATGTGGTGTGTGTGCCTGTGCAAGGAGAACCATGTGCAAGAGCACCAGAAACAGGATTCTAAGGGCATGTTCATATTTTTAATTTAACCTGTGATAAGTTTGGGGATGTGTCATAGTAGATGCTGTTGAGAACATGGAAGACCTCTCTTTTGGTAGAGTCCTGGCCAGTAGTCCTAGGAGAGATTATGGGAAATGGACAGTAGTAGTTGGAATCCAGGGCCTGGAAGTCAAAATGATGGGAAAGACCATTCATTGAGAAAGAAGACATAAAAACTGGCAATAAAGGAGATTCGAGGCAGAGATATTTCTGTGTTAGGATCTTAGGAATACCTTACGGAGTGCTGAGGTCTATCCAGTAGAAACGTGTGACATAGAGAAGTTTGAGAAGGTTCAGTGGGGGGTGTGAAAATTTTGCTAGGTTGGGCCAGAAGGCTAAAGGAATGTCCTAGGAAACTAGGAATATAAAATTTGTTCTCAAATCAATGTAGTACACCCCACTGAGGCAGTTGAGTGATGGTACTGACCCTGCAGTGGAAGGCCTTTTTAACTAAGTTCCGCAGCCCTAATGGAGACAGCAGAGTATGGAGTACGTGCAGAGCTACTCCAGCATTCTAGAAAACTCTTGTTGCATTTTTAAAGATGGAACACAGTTGTCACTGAAAATCTTCAGAGTTTATGCGAACTTTCTGCTTATGCCTGTTGATTTGATCAGAGTCTTTGGTGTTTTAGGTAGGGAAAACGTTCATTTTATGGTGATTTCCTTGTTACTGAAAACAGTTAAAATTAAGTAGGAATTTTATATATGTTCTATCTTGCTGTTAATATTTGATGTAGTGCTTTCTGTAACATTTTCGTTTTGAGGGGCTGTTAGACACAGCATTTTTTGGGGCAGAATACTTTTGAAAGGGTATTTTGTGTTTTGGGGAAATAATTTCTAAAGATATTTGGAAAATGCTGAATTTAAATATGTATAGCTCTTATAATTGTGAGCTTTGTACATTTACATTGATGTTCTTTTGTATAGGAGTTAAAGTTCCTCGTAATTTTCGCTTGTTGGAAGAACTTGAAGAAGGACAAAAAGGAGTAGGCGATGGTACGGTTAGCTGGGGCCTTGAAGATGATGAAGATATGACACTTACAAGGTGGACAGGCATGATTATTGGGCCACCAAGGGTTAGTGTTATAAATTACATACTTTTTCTTTTAATATTGTTACTTTAGAGTAAACATTTTATTTTGTACTAATCAATATTAAAATAACTTACTTTTAACTGAATTCTTAGTTTATTTTGCATGCATTTATCGATGCCTCCTGCGTGCAGAGTGTAATATTTGATTATGTGCAGGATTGTGGGAGGAGGAAGATTGACATGGTCATTGCCATCAAGGTGTTTGTAGTTTAGTAGAGGATAAAAAAGGAGTGCAAATGACAAATTTTAAATATAGCAGAGCAAGTTCACTATGGGACTTTAGAATATGTTTTTTCTAGCTGGAATAATTGAGGAAAGCTGAACAGTGGAGGAAGTTGCCTTTGGATTGACCTTAAAGGACAGACTGATAGGATTTCTGAAGGTGGTGATTGGGATGGAGAACATTCTAGATAGACAGGAAAAAAGATGAGGAAATGGAGGGGGTGTTTGGGAAGTAGGGAAAGATTATTTTGACATAACGTATTACTAACCCCTTTTGTGTAATTGAGGATTTCTAATGGTACTGAGTGCACACTGGTGTTTCCCTCTGATGTTTCACTGAAGTACCATGGAAACACTGTAGGCTTCACTGTTGTCTCGGGCTCTGCTTTTGCAGGGTAGAACTCAGTGGTAGAGTACTTGCTTAGCATGTGTGAGGTCCTAAGTTCAATCCCTAGCACCAATGAAACAGAACACAAAGGCTAGGGTTCTTACATATTTTCTAGTGTTATTGACAGTTATCCTATTGTACATTATGCTTAGGTTTTTCTAGGTTTATTATTTTATTTTTACTCAGTCGGAATAATTCTAGATTGAAGAATTTTTTTCTATGTTTTCTTCTCCAGTGGTCCAATCCAGTATATTTTTGCAGTGAGTCTTTGAAATGTGTATTGTGTAATGTTTTTGCTTTGCTGGAAACAACATAAAGTTGAAGGATTTTTTTGTCTTCGGTTTTGTAAAATGTTGATACTTTCTGATGAGAGCATTTGAACTATTTTTTGTTGGGTAGTGTTAAGACTTAGTTGTATTACAAAAGAAAAATGGATCTGGTCATTAGCAGCATTATCTTTCGGGAATAAATTAATATGTCATGTTTTCAAGGTATTTTTTGGTATTCCTTTGCAAAATTTGTGCACATTCCTTATATTCTGATTTTCCTCCTCTCTGCTCTGGTTTTTCCAGAAGACTTTTGGGGAAAGACATGATTGGTGGGTACAAGCTTTTGTAACTTGGTATTTCTAATAAAAACCTTGATTTTTTTTTTTTTTTTTTACTGCCTATAAACATTATTACCATAGTCTGAAAAAAAAAAAGTGGTTTAAATTTATGACCATCCTGACTTAGAATAGTTTGAAAATTTAAATCAGAACTTCGTGTTCTGATTTAAATAGAAAATCAAAATTATTTTGATTTGGTTTTTCTCCAGTTGCTTCTTCTAGTACTTTTTTTTTTTTTTAATGAGGTGGAATCTCCACGTGTTGCCCAGTCTGGCCTGAAACTTGGCAATCTTCCTGCCTCAGCCTCCTGAGTAACTGGAACTGTAGGTGTGCACTATCGAGCCTAGCTCTTCCAGTGGACTTTATACCCTGAGAGTGTTTTGGAGCTTGTGCCTGTTTCATCAGGGAAGCTTGTGGATCAGTTCCACCCCTGCAGACGCAGAGAGAGTGCTGCGCCTACTTGCTGTCTTACCCACTGGGAGTCCCCAGCAGGATTCCACAAGCCAGCTACTTTTCCTGGTTCTTTGAGCCATAGGAAGGGTTTTGGTCCCTTATGTGCCTACTGTTCATAAACTGTGTTCAGGTCTTGTGTGTTCTTGTGTTTTCAGAGATAAGGATTGTTCTTTTTTCTGGGCATAAGGCATGAACCGTGACAATGAGCAACTTCAGGGGAAGGTCATATAAGTCTGCTTCAAGGAAGAGAAAACAAGAGGAAGGTGGAAATGACCTTCTTGCTTATGTTCTTTTCTAAGATGACAAAAATGCCATATTTTGGGGTAGTGTGCCCTGAATGCCGCCAGAGCACTGGCAAGGAGATTTGTGGCCTGCAGAGGCTGCATCTTTCCTGAGGCGGACTCTGCCTTGTACCCTGTAACTCTGCATCTCTTACCACCATTTCTCTCAGATGAGTGTGTCTGCCACTCATTTAGTTGTAGCTTCATAACGTGGCAAAGGTTAATGTCTTACCCAGTTAGTTTTTCTTTAAAAGGCCTGATACTAGAATACTTTTGTTCCTAGTTTTCAGTATCAACATCCAGCCAGGATATGAGGAAAACACTTACATTAAAACTGTTACAAATTACATGTTTTTTTTTTTCTTTAAATTTTTTGTATATTAAGAGCCATAAATTTTTCCAGTGCTGTGGATTGAATTGAGCCCCTCACATATGCTAAGCACATGCTGTACACCTGATCTTCCCCTGAACCCCAGCCCCTAAAATTCCTGTTTTTAAAAATGTTTTTCCAGTATTCACTTGGATTTATATGATTAACAGTTTTCTTTTTCTTTTTTTTTGTCTTTTTCATTTTTATCGGTACCAGGGATCGAACTCACGACCGCCTGCTTGCAAGGCAGGTGCTTATGCCGCTGAGCTAAATCCCCAGCCCCTAACAGTTTTATTTTTCTCTGTATTTGTGTGTTCAGTTTTCTGCAGCAGTATTTTTTGGCATTAGAGGTACTGTCTTTCAAAGTTGTGAGAATTAAATGCAGACAGACAGTAGGAGAGCACCCGATTTAGTAATATTAGTTCCTTTTTCTGCTTTGTTTTCTGCTTTATTCTGCTGTTAATTTAAAATTCAGAGGTGTTAAAATTAAAGTAGCCAAAGGCAGGATGTTTATTCTTAAATATTGGTGCAGGTTACATACTGGGGGGAAAAATCAAGGAAGAATTTATATGTAGTGAAATATCTAGATCTTGCCACGAGTTTGACTAATGTATCTGTGACTATACCCCTGTTGAAGTTGAATGCTCCCTGTGCCCTTCCCCACCAACTCTACTCCTCCTTCCTGTACTGGAGCCTAGTACTGCATGTTCTAGAACTTTGATAAGTAGAATCAGAGTTTGTATACTCATGACTCTGCTTCTTTACTCAATGTCTGAGGGTCTCGGTTATGTTGTCACAGGTAACAGCAGGAGTGTATTTCTTTTTGTTACTAAATAGTATGTTATTGTATGGATATACCATAATATGTGTATCAGTTCTGTTGTTCAGCAGCTTTTGGATTTTATCTTTTTGGCTGTTACAAATGAAATTGCTATGCACATTCTTGTAGAAGTCATTTTGTGAACAGGTTTTGGAATTAATGCATTATAGTTGTGTGGTTATTTATTTTTCTAAAAAAAAGGCTAAATTATGCCATTCTTCACTCCAGCAGAGTATAGAAGTTGTGATTGTTTTCAGATACATCAATTACATTATAGAAATTTAGGGTGGGAGAGCTATTTTTTATTTTTTAGTGTAAGTTGTTTAGAGTCTGATGTTATTTCAGATTGGAGAACTTTCGACAAACTGATGTCATGAGATCTGATTTTAGTCATAATTATATATGTCCAGATTGCAGGTCATAGTACTAAACTTGCTACTAAACTTGGATGAGTTTTATGTAGCTCTTTCTTTTCCAACATATTGAAATACTTAATAACATGTGTCAAATTGTTGCATACATTTTACATTACTCCACTTGGCAGTAGCTTTTATTTACGGGAAAGGGATAAGATTAGTAAAGTGAGATCTGTGTACTGTTAGCTTCTTTTCTTCATGGTTTATACAGAAACCATCAAAGGTATTAAATGTGTCACTTCTCTTAGTTTTTTATGTTCTTATTTCAGTAGTAAACAGTAAGTTTATCAAGTGAATGAAAACCATAGGAGGAAGAAAAGTACAAGCATAAAGATAAGCCTGCATATGAATAATCTAGATGGTTTAAGCCATAATCTTAAAATGACTGCTGTATAAGATGGTAAGAAACTGTGTTGGTGTGTAACAAAAACAAAACAAAAAGCAACTTATTTTAGCTGAGTGTGGTGATACATTACCTGTAATCTCAGCATGGAGGCTGAGGAAGGAGGGTCACAAATCTGAGCCCAGCCTGGACAACATAGTATCTTAGTGAGATGATGACTCAAAAAATAAAATAGGCTGGGAATGCAGCTTCGTACGAAGTCCCTGAGTTCAGTCCTGACTACCAGGGGGAAGAAAAGATAGAAAAAAAAAGAAAAATATTTATAAGGATGTGTAAACATAAAGTTTGCTGTTATAACTTTGAATTCAGATAATGGGATTTAGCAAGCTACAAAATAAATGAGGTAATAATCTAAGATTAAGTAAAAAGAGACATGAAATAGTTATGTTTTACTGCTGTAAGATTTGTTATTAATTACTTTATAAGTAATATGACTTTAGTTTTTATTTAATTAAGATTCTTTTGAGACTAAAGAAACGCACTGTTAATAATGAATACTGGGCCAATAGGAATAAGCAGGACTGCCCTGGGAAATGAGAACCTTCATGTGTAAGTGGCACAAATGAAGTAATTCCTCTGCTTACAATGTAAAACTTTTAGCAAAGTCTACATTTAAGTGGTTTGCTTTTACTTTTTAATTTATGTGTTGTTTGTACCACAAAATGAAAATTCTGATCATATTGTTATTTGTAGAATTATTTTAATTTTAGAAAATGTCTACTTTTAAGTATCTTGCAATACTTTTTCCTAAACACATCAATCAAGTAACTGCATGTAGAAACGTAAATTCTTAGTCATAAACATTGTTATAGCAAGTACCTTCATATTTTATTATTTTAGGTACTGTAATTACGACTTTTTTTTTTCCTTTCAGACAAATTATGAAAACAGAATATATAGCCTGAAAGTAGAATGTGGACCTAAATACCCAGAAGCTCCTCCATCAGTTAGATTTGTAACAAAAATTAATATGAATGGAATAAATAATTCCAGTGGAATGGTAAGTTAAAATAGTACTTTTATCCTTATATAGTCCAGAGAAAGTTTTTAAAAGTTGAAAGTCTCACGTTTGTTTTATATTGTTCTTTTTTTTTTGTTTTTGGTACCAGGGATCGAACTCAGGACCTCATGCTTAGCAGGCAGGTGCTTATACCACTGAGCTAAATCCCCAGCCCTATATTGTTCTTTATAAACTGGCCTATCTAAAATCCTTAATTTTTCTTAAGGTTTTATTCATTTGGTGACATTTTTCTTAAGGTTTTTTTCATTGTGCCAATACCTATATTTCTCTTGAATTCTCATTTGATGAAAAGATGATGCTCTGTTTTTATTTTATTTTTTGTTATTTGAGATGCAGTCTCACTGCAGTTCAGGCTGGCCTTAAGCTCATGATGATCTTCCTGCCTCAGCCTCTTGGGTGTTGTAGTTACAGACATGTACCACCATGCCTTACTCCATTATTTCCCTAAATGTTACTTTTCTTTAGGAGTGAGGTTCATTTGTGAGATTGAAGGATAAATATTAGGAAAGGCTTGTTGCTTTGAGGAACAAGTGTGTCTGTTGGAATAAGTATGTGAGGACCAGGGATACACTTCATTGGCACAGCGCCTGCCTGGAATAAGTGTGTCAAGAGAGTGTGGTTGTCTTATTAAGCCAAGCAAGTGTGCAGGTTTCCTTATATGTACCTGACTCATGCCAGTTAGTAGAAGTTGCTGATTTGCAATGAGTAGGTCATGTATTAACTTTGAAGCCCAGGCTGGCGTTGTCCCATATTGAGAGTACACATGCAGAAAACATGTTGCAAAGCAAGATGATACCACTCTAAGATGAAAGTCATCCATCTCAAGTCTCTTTCAATTCCTTGATTCGAATTGTATCCCTTGTGTTACTCTGTCACAGTCTGTAGTCACCCTGTTACTCTGTTTTGGTGATGCTGGAATTAAATATTTTGGTGTTCTTTTAATTTAACTCCTGGGTTGAAGCTAGTAAATTGCCTATGGCTAGTAGGTTTATTATTAGTGTTTAGAACTCTAGGAAATGACTACTTCTCAAAGGTGTCTTCCATGTGTAGCTGGTTTTTGGGTTTTTAGCTTGTTGCAAGATCCTACCTCTTCAATTTATTGAGGATGAGAAGTTGCTGCCTACTTGGCCCAGCCCCTGATTCTTTGGCCCTGGCCTACAGTATTTTTTATCGCCCTTAGGTAATCTCCATCTTGGTATACCAGGAAAAACAATTGAATAGAACAATTATGTCATTTTGGTTAAAGTGGAACAGTCAGCAGAAACAGTGGTATGAAACATGGCCTAGAAAATGACAAACTAGGGTAACAATTGATTTGCCACATTTTAACTATATGAACCAGATGTTTGATTATATAACAAAATCTAAAATGAACCGGAGGCTAGATGTGGTGATGCAGCCTGTAATGCCATCATTTGGAAGGGGAGGCAGTAGGATTGCCAGGAGCTTGAGGCCAGCCTGGGCTACATAATGAGTTCAAGCCTGGACATGTAGTCTTATTATGTAAATAAGACTCTGTGTCAAAACAAAAACAAAAACAAGCGAAACATCGAAAACATTGTATGCAGTAAACAAACCCTCAATCTGACAGTTTTACCCTTTGGGGAGAAAATCGAAAAGGAGTTGGAAAAAATAGAGAAATAGAAGAGGGAGCGATTAGAAGCAAGGCTGGAGACAAAGGAAGATCATACAAACTTTGTTATGAAGTTTGATGAAGACAGATGGGAAAGAGCAGGAAGAAATAAAAAGAACAGAACAACCACAGAAAAATCTAGAAACAGTGTTCACGTTCATACAGAAACAAAAAATAAGAAATAAGAAAAGGGAAAATAAGAAAAATGTATGTACACTTCAAGGTGTTGTCTCTGCAGTCACTGGTAGACAATGTGGGCCAGTCTAGATCTGAGTTGATTAATTCTAACAAGCTTGCTGTAGCTTTGTGATACGGTAGTGCACCGTTAGTTCCACAGAAGTTCAGGCTGGTTCCTGGCTTCGAGCTGAAACTAGATTTATTCAGCCTGGAGCAGTCCATGTGCCTCATGCCTGCTTGAACTGGGCTCTCTGCTGGGTTGGACTTGACTCCCTTATCTGCAACTTTGAAATCAACTCCCTGATACTGTCCCTGGGAGCCACTAGATGGAGCCGGGCTGCAGCTGTTCTGAGTTCTGAGCTCCACTGGCTTCTCTGCAAGATGGCTACTAGCCAGTTACCCTCTCCTCAGGGATGTCTGAACTTTAATAACACCAGCTACTGCAGTCTGCTGAGTCCTCTGATGCATTTCTACATGGAGACCTCTGGGGTCACGAGTGGTCACCGTTTGAGCCACCCCTTCTACCCCCTGAATCTGGGCTCAGGGAGAAAGAGCCATCTGCACCTCCTTTTTCTTTGTTGATGTCTCTCTCTTTGCTCTGTCTTATAGGCTTGAATTTCTGCTTCATCCTTTCTGGGTCTTGGAAACCCACTTCCCTCCTCTTTTTCTGCCTCAATGTTGTTGTATTCCAGCGTCTGGATGTACTTGGAGAGTCTCATTCTCTGCTTCTTCTTGCCACTCCACTGTCTTCCTGGAAGTCTCTATTTTTGGTATTTTTAAAAGAAACATTTCTGACATGAAGACAGGTTTTAGGAAATGATATACCCAGCCTCTGTGTACTTTTCACTTAGCTTTGTCAAATCTTAACACTTGTCTTATTTGTAACACTTGTTTTCTTTTGAGGTAAGATTTCACTGTGTAGTTCAGGCAGGCCTTAAATTTACCGTATCACCCAGGAGTGCTTGAACTCATGATCCTTCTGCGTTAGTCTCCCAAGTGTTAGAATTATAGGCATGTACCACTACACCCAGCTCTCTATAACATCTTTTTTTAATGCAGAGTACATTGTAAATAGAGTTAATTGTGTGCTTTCTCCTGTTTCTCCCTCACTTTCTACAAAGGTGACTGTTTGGATTTGTTACCATTTCTGTGCATGATTGTGCTTTCACTATATACTTGTATGCATGCTTCTGCATTGTATCACTTTTTATCCTACACTTGCTAGTGTTTGTCGGGGTCATGCATGACTATGCAAATTAGATACCATCTTTTTATTACTTAATACTGTTTTGTTCTCTACTTGTTTAGATTTTTTCAGTTTTGACTGAAAAGATTGCTGCAGTGAACACTCTTGTACAGTATTGTACTCTTGGACGGTTCAAGGTGGCATGTTTGTGTCTTTAGTTGTTTGGTTCTAATCTGTTATAGATAATACTTTGGTAAGAGCCAATGAAAATTACTAGAAAAATGAAATTTAAAAGTGTATGAAATACAGGCTCAGATTTTGAATGAAGTATTTTCTGTCAAATTGCTTGTAATTTTACTCTGAATCTCTGTTTTATAAAGGCTCATGAAATTCAGTTCATGGCCTAGTGCTATTATAGGGCATACTTCGGGTAACACATTTGCAGGGACCAAACCTGGGAGAAGAGTGTGCTGAGCTGTGAGGCTTGTCTTCAGTGTAATGAAATATGGCGTGTTATCTTGCGGGGCTTTGTTGGTGTCTGCCCTGCCAGCAGTGCATTGCAGGACCCTAAACACATGTTCCCACTAACTCTTATGTTCTCATCTGGAATGGGGACTTGAGAATAGAAAACAAATGCTGACTTTAGTTATTATTTGAATGTAGGTATGTGTTTAGAGAGGTAGGGGTATGGCAAATGTATGGTCTGTTGGTTTGCCTGGTATGTGTGAGTTTGGATTATTACTTTTGTAACTGATAAATAGACAGAATTTCATATTGATCATTGATGATTGTGCTAGGATAGTTTTACATATTTTGAGGTAAATACCTGATAATTGAGTTCATAAGTATCAATGGTGGGTGCTGCTTTATTAATTTTCATTTATATTTGTTTAATTTAACTAGTGTCAGAAATCATAGAATGTGCTATGTTGTAAAGGCTCAAGATTTGGAGATTATTGTTTCTTGCAGACTGATAAGATACAGATTTTGTACTGACATCATATTTATTTTCTGTTGCTCTTCCCCTCCCCTGTCTGGACTCTTGGTATTTCACAGCATTTGCAATCACTTATGTTTACTTAACTCCCATTTACATCTGGAAGTGTTTGTTTCTGCTTTGGAAGTAACCTGGTGTTCTCTCCACTGATTATAAATTGTTCATTTATGAACTCTTTAAATTAGGCTAAGAGAGTTGCTGTTCTTGGAAGTTTTTAAGTTAAAGCATTAGAAGAAGCCTTTTAAATGCATTTTAATTTTATGTTTTTCTTATTTTAGTAAGAGAAGTATTATTCAAATTATTTTCTCTACTTATAAGTGGTTTTATTGTGATATAATTTACATACTACATGGTTCACACATATAAAGTGTATAGTTAAATGCTTTTTAATATGTAAAGGATTGTGAGTTCATTACTGTGATCCAGTTTTAAAATATTTAGAATACAGAATGTGAAATAATATACCTGTTAGTTGTCACACCTCCATCATCCTAAATGGTCACTTATCAGCTGTGTTTACACATTTACCCACTGTGGACATTTTATACATTGAAATAATATATGTTCTTTTGTATGTTAACGTAGTATTTTCAAATTAATTCATTTGTATGTTGTGAGCACTTTTTTTATTGCTGAATAGTGCTCCATTTTGTATTAAGTTGATTTATCCAATCATAATCTTTTATGATATGAATCTTTTAAATATTCATATTTTTCTGTTGTTGGCTATCACGAATAATGATGCTGAAAATATGTACAATTTTTTGTGTGGAAAAGTATTTTCCTTTTATTGGGGTGTATTCCTAGGCATAGAATTGCTGAGTCAAATGGTAACTATTTTTGAGCAACTGTCACCCTGTTTTCCAAAGCAACTAGACTATCTTATATCCCTTCCAGCAGTGTGTGAATGTTCCAGCTTCTCCATATTCTTGTTAACTTACGTTTGTTTTTTTGTTTTTGTTTTTGTGGTTCTGAGGATTCAAAATCCCAGGAATACTTTACCACTGAACTACATGCAGTCTCATTTTACTTTTCGTTCTGAGAGAGGGTCTTGCTGAGCTGTCCAGGTGGCTTGGACTTGCCAGTCCTGCTCCAGTCTTCTGCAGTGCTGGGACTACAGGTGTACACCACTGTACCCAGCTTGTCTTTTTTTTTTTTTTTTTAGCTATCCTACTATTTTATTATATCTGTTTTAGTGGGTGTGAAGTGGTAGTTTGTGGTTTTAATTTGTAATTCCTTTATAGCTAATGATGTTGAATGCCTTCTCGTATGCTTATTTGCTGTTTATTATGTGTTGACTATTTATATATCTTCTTTGGAGAAATGCATATTAAGATACTTTGCTCTAGGGTCTGGGGATTTAGCTTAGTGGCATAAGCGCCTTGCCTTGCAAGTGTGGTCATGAGTTAGATCCCCGGTACTGATAAAAAAGAAAAAGATGAAAAAAAAAAAAGAAAAAAGATACTTTGCTCTGTGTACGTGTAATACTGGGGATTGAACCCAAGGCCTTTGCACTAAACTACATCCATAGCCCTTGTTTATTTTTATTTTTAAAATTTGAAACAGGTTCTCACTAAGTTCTCCCAGGCTTGGCTGGACTTGAACTTGCCATTCTCCTGCCTCAGCCTTCCAAAGTGGTGTGATTAAGACCTGCACCACTTCATCTGGTTCTTTCCTCACTTTTTGAAAGCAGTTTAAAACAGGCATTCATTATCTCAGAATTTTTGTGGGTCAGCAGTGTTGGTACCGCTCAGCTGGATCTCTCACGAGGGTATAATCAAGAGGTCCGCCGGTGGTGCAGTCTCAGCAGAATGTTCAGCTAAGGAAGCATGCTATTCCAAGCTCACTCATGTGGTTTTATTAGTGTGATACAGTTCCTTGTGGGTCTTTGAACTGTGGACCTTCGTTTCTTAGAGACTGTTGCTGAGAAACTACTCTCAGCTCTTTGCCACATACGTGTATTCATAGGGAGTCCACAACAAGGCACTCGACTTCCATCTGTGAGGCAGCTGAATAAGAGCAAAAAGAAAGAAGATGGCAGGGTGGTTTTTTTTTTTTTTTTTTTTTTTTTTTCCTAAATCAGAATATGACATTGCATTGGGAATGACATTGAAGCATTATAGTCTTCAGGAACAAATCACCATATGTGTGTATACACACACACCACACAATGATAATAAGAGGGTAGGAAGTAACTTTTGGAGGTGGTGGTAAAAGGGTTATGGGATAGATTGCGGTGATGGTTTCATGGGTATGTACTTATTTCTAAACTTGTCAAGTAGTATCAATTAATTATGTGTAACTTTTTATGTATAAAAACTACTTAAAGAGTGGCAACCTACTCCGGGACTCCTTCTGTCTCTCTCAATAAATATTTCTTCTCTTAAAAAATTACTTAAACAATCTGAAACAAAATCTTTATTTTTCTTCCCTGTCCTCTTTTTCTAGTGGTGATTGAACCCAGTGCTTCTGCGTGCTTAGTTAGTGCTCTGCCACTGAGCTACATCCCTAGTCCTTTTTATTCTTAATTTTGCGACAGTCTTACTGAGTTCCTCAGGCAGGTTTTGAATTTGCAATCCTTTTACCTCAGCCTTTCAAATAGCTGAAATTGTATGTGTGTAACACCGTATCTGGCTTCTTTTCTTTTCTTTCTTTTTTTTGTGGTGCCGGGATCAAACTCACGACCTCACGTTTGCCGAGCAAGCACTTACGCCACTGAGCTAAGCCCCGCCCTTTTTATTTTCTTGATGTATAGTTTATAGTGCAAAAGTTTTTAATGTGGTTTAATCTGAAACAGGGTCTTGCACTGTTGCCTAAGCTGGATCTTGAACTCCTGGACTCAAGTGATTTTTGTACCTGTTACTCTAAAGTAGCTAGGACTATGGCTGTGTGTCACTTAGAGCTCACTCAAAATTTTTAATTTTGATATGGTCTGTGTACTTTTTCTTTTGTCAGATGTGCTTTGGGTATTGAATCTTAAGCCATCGTCAACTCAAATGTCATGAGTGTTTACTCCTATATTTTCTTCAGACTGTTTATAATTTTGACTGTTTATTAAGTCTGTGAACTGTTTTGAGTTAATTATCTTATGAGTGGTGTGAGGTACAGATCCAGCCTTATTGCTTTCATGTGGATATCCAGTTGTTCCAGAACTACTTACTGAAAATATTAGTTATTTCACTGAATTGTCTTGGTGTCCTTATTGCAACACAGCTGTAAGTGTGAGGAGGGATTTCTAGGCTCTCAGTAGTATTCCACTTATCTGTGTGACCTTATACAAACACCACTATAGTTGTGCAGTAAGTTTTGAAATCAGAATTTTTCTTTTTCATATTGTTTGGGCTCTTCTGAGGTTCTTTTATTCTCATGAATTTCAGGAGCAGCTTCTGTGTTTTCACAAAAATAGAAAAAGGCAGTTGAAATTTTGATACTTAATGAGTGATTGTCTGGGTTCAAAGCATATGTCTGTGCCTCTATATGACACCGCATTTTCCATCTTTTCCTTAAGCATTTTTTTGGTCGTCTTTTTGTTGCCCTCAGCTCACTGGGAGAGGGATGTGGGAGCACAGGTAAGTCCCTGCGAGTGAGCTCTGAGGTCACACTGAAAAAAGGTGCTCTGAGTGGGGCTTGCAGCTGTAAGACTGGTTGCATTCTACAAGTTTCCTGAGAATAGATCTTTGAAAGAGCTCTAGCCCCATTCTGTCAGTCTTCCACAAATTTAGAGTAGTGCTTACAATACATGGGAAAGAAAAATCTGGAAGCAAAGATCAGGTTAACAATTCTTACTTAAATTTCAGTTTGAGATAATTGTTCAGATTTTGATTAGTAGCCATATCATCAAGAAAGAATTGGTAAATATATTGGTAGTTTTTTAATAGAAGGTTTATTTCTGAAGCTGAAGTTGATTGAATGTTTATTGTAAAATGCAAAAAAGAACACACAAATTTCAGATTTTTAGAAAATTCCTGTTACAGCTTTTATATTACAGAAATTCTGAACCTGTAATTTTAATACTTTTTGAATCCATACTTTCTTAGTGTGACATTCTTAAGTATGTTTAAAAAATGATGTTACAGTACTTTAGATTTAGAAGTTAATTGTATTCTTTCCTTCCCCTTTCAGGTGGATGCACGCAGCATACCAGTGTTAGCAAAATGGCAAAATTCATATAGCATTAAAGTTGTACTTCAAGAGTTAAGACGTCTAATGATGTCCAAAGAAAATATGAAGCTTCCACAACCACCAGAAGGACAAACATACAACAATTAGTTTTAGTGGATCTCAAACTTGTCTTAAATCACCAACCTTCTACTCATATTAATGTCTTGATTAAGTATCACAATGCAAAATACCCACACATTAAGTAAAAGAATTCCAGCTGATAAACATGACCTGGACATTTGTAAGAATATATTTAATATATGTTCACCCATTATGTTTTCAGGTAACAGGAGGAAAAATGTGGCACAATTTTTCTTTCTCTTGTTAAGGCACTGTCATTTAAACATGAACCTGGAGTACTCCAAATAGAATTCAGGTTTACAAGATGAAAGCATGGGAAGAATTGTCAGATGTCAGTGGAAACGTGTTTCTGAAAAGTAAAATCTCAAGAAGGAAAAACAGAAATGGCATACTTATCCATCTTGCTTAGTGAAAGAGCTGCAGTTTGAAATTGTTCAAGTAGCAGGTACAATGAATATTGTCACAAATTGTGTTAATTTTTGAGGCAGTGTGGGTGCTGACTACTAGTAGTATCAAAAATATGTTCAGGATTGTTTTGATACCTGTATTTATAATAAAAAATGTTGGGGGGTTGATGAAATTCTGTCAAAAGCTGTTCTGTGTGTTACATGTAACAGACATGGTAATATTTGTTTACAGTCTTTGTTAAGTAAACCATGCATTTAAGTTTAGGGGAAGTCAACAAACGGAAATAGGTGTATGGATATGTGATTTTGAGATTAGTCTTAAAATGTAAATAAAATGTGGAACGTGTCCTCAGAGACTGTGCCATTTCTATTATATCGATGTAGTATATGTACAGTACCTTGCCAAGGTAGCAAAAATTGAAATTATTGATTGTAGCTTTTCATTAATACACCCCATTTATGATTTATTCTGCTTTGTATAGAGTACTTATGAATTGGAATTATATAATTAGTTTAACCTCTTTTTGAGGAGGGAATCTCAGATATTATATTTGAATTTGATTTCACCAGAAATAATATTAACTACAGAGATTTTTAAATTCTAGACATTCTCACACAATTACAAATTGCATGTTATTCAAATGTACATTCCTTTTTTTCTTAACATCTTTTTATTTTTCTGTGAAGCTTTTGGTTAATGGGTTGAAATAATGGAGATACTTCCTTCTCTAGTTACTGATTTTAATGTTAACAAGGGTTAGTTTTATCCAGGCTCCATCTAACAGATAGGTAACTCTGAAATCAGAGATTTATTTATGAGTCAAAGCAACAGGAGGCTTTAGGTTACTATTTCTGCTTCAAAGCACTGGGATATACTGCTTTTTTGAAAAATATTGTTTTCTTATGAATTTCCTGAAGAATATCAAAGGTAGTCTCCTTTCTTTTGGCCAATGTTTTTTATCCTTTGCCCCAGAATATATAGGCAAACTAAAATCATGATTGTCAAAATATCAGTGAGGCATTCTAACTTTGCTTAAAAAGGAAAAATAATTGACTTTGTATTGTTTTGAAAATATTAAAGTATCTAGTTACTTTTGTAGTATAACATGGACAGGTTTCTCAAATATACCCTGACATGTTTTTATCAACCTCAAATTTGAGCCTTGAACTACCTTTTCTTAGTTAATAGTGTATTAAAGTTAGTGACAGTTTGTCTAAACTTACTAATTTCAACATGGCTGATCTATTTAATTATCAAAAATTTCTTGAATACTTTAAAATGATACATAGAGAACATACACAAATTCATACATGTATAATTTATTAAAGTAGATTTAAGATGAACTGTTGCCTTGAAATGTCTTAAATTTTTAATGGTTAGAAGAGATTAAATTACACTGACACTGTATAAAGTCTAATGGTAATTGATGGTCTGAATCACTCTCAAATAACTTCTTTTCCACTTTGAAAACATGTCACATATGGAAGCTGATAACTTGGGATACTGTTGTTGGCAGTCTGATGATTTAGTCCCTTAAACTCATAACGTTTTCGTTTCCCATCTGTATTGGTATGAAAGTGTTTCTTCTTTTTATGTGTTATCAGAGTCAGACTTTTAATGTTTATTTCCCTCCTTTGCTTTTAAGATTATGAATCTCACAGAAATCTGCATGCCAGTTAACCATTTTCCAAAGCACCAATCCATTTTTGCATGCCACAATCAAAATGTACATGGCAATCTAAGACACCCTGATTAAGAGTTAACATAAAGCTGCTCTAAATTATAGTAACATTTCTTAGGAATTTCAAAACAGTTTGTTTTGTAAAGTGGCTGAAGTTGTAGGAGTGTGTGGTATTTTATCACCTTTCAGATGAATTGTAAAATTGCCTTAGAAATTTGTTTAAAAGGTCAAGACCTTTTAAACCTTGAGGATGATCATATATTAATAAAAATTGCAAAAATAAAATTCTTATATTAGGTCAGTGTTATGCTTTAATGGTTTTAATTAATAACTTTTAGAATTGATGATTTAAAAATTTTTTTTCTAGCATTTTAAACGGCTTTTGGTAGAGATTTGTGTGTAAGTATCGAGGAATTTGGAACATAAACATTTGGAAGAATAGTGGTATTTAAGTGTTTTGTGTATAAAAATAGAAGAATTATAATTTTATATTATCCTTTGAGAGAATTTATTACACTTAAAATTTAAGAAAGTGCTCTCAGCATGGAGTAGTTTGCCCCACTCATAGGCTTGATTACTTAACACCTATAAATTGATTTAATATTGTTGCTAAGTATGTATTAGTAGACATGAAATTATTTTGATTATTTTGAAAATATAGGGAGTAGAGCTGGAAATGCTAGTGACTTTTTCTTGTTTTGTTTGTGAGACAAGGTCTCAGGTCTGAGTATGCAGTTTAGGCTGGTCTTGACCTCACTGTACTCCCAGGCTGGCCTTGCTTACCCAGTTAAGTGTGCAGCACCATGCCCAGCTAATGCCTTTTTAAAAAAGTATCTTTGGTGTGCGTGGCTTCGAGTGATTTTATTAGGTGCATCATGTAATGACAGTGTTGAGCTGTAGTGTTTGGTCAAAACCATGCTGTTTAATGAGCACCTGGCTATGTTCTTATCTACATTTTAAAAAACATAAGTACTGCTAGTAAAAGTCTAGTCTTATACATAATAGGATTTCAGGAGGTGTTCATGAAATTTTACCCTTTAGGTTTCTTTTTTTATAAATACACTTTTTAGGCATTTATGTGTAGAGTCATAGAATCATTTGTTGATGGAAAGACTCTAAAAGACACTGATTTTACTTTTCTGATAAGTATAAAAACAATTTTCCTGCACCAATTTGACTTTTGGTTGTTTTCAGAGTCCAGCATCTCAAGGTTTTGGAAAAGTATACGTATTTAGATAGACACTAGAAAGACCATTAAGAAGAATGCAGTATATTACAGATTAGCCCTAGTACCAAATTTACTGAAAATAGGGACTGCATAATAATTGAATACTTTTATGCTAAAATTAATGTGTCACATAATAGTTGCTAAAGAGTGAATAAAAATCTTACCAGGTTTATGTTGAAAATATCAAGTTGTTTAAAAAGACTGGAATGTTGAAAATACAGAAAGTATTTTCTGAAGGGAAAAGTAATGAAGGTTTTTGATACAGAAAATAAGCGACAAGTCAAACGTACCATTTTGTGAAATAAAAGTTTTGAGAACTTGGAATGAGTTACATGATTTAAAAACATTGGATATAAAGAATTGTGTTTATATTCGTAGTAGGATGTTGTCATCTAAAATTTTTTTCCCTAAGGTTCTATCTTATTTTTACATGTAATTTATGAGACCAAGTTTTTCTGCTAGTTTATTTATGAAATCAACAATAAAAGCCAAATAGATCTCACTTTAACTTGGAAAGATTCCAGGAGTCATCCTTTCTCTAGTGAATATTGCCAAATACCATAGAAGAATTATGCGGTGATCTTTTGCTGCCAAATGTAAACATATGTGAATTCTTTTATTTTGTCCTTGCTCAGAACTTCAGCAGCTATTTTAGACATTTGGTGATCAAGATTATACAAAAGCAAAATTAATAGTCAACTTCCATAAGAGGGCTAGTAGTTGGCCCTAGACCAATAGTAATACATCTCTGGTAACTAAAAGAGCAAAAATTTTCAATTGTTCAGTGGAGTAATTATTAAAAAAATTCAGAGTCAACAAGGAATCCGTTTTTTTTTTTTTTTTTAGTTTTTTGTTGTTTTTTATGGTACTGGGGATTGAACCTCACAAGCTTGTCACTAAGCTATATCACCAATCCTCTTTTATTTTTTATTTTGAGACAGTATTGCTAAGTTGCCCAGATGGGCTGGAGCTGCAGATTCTCTTGCCTCAGCCTTCCACAGTGGTGTGTTTACAGGTATGCACCACTGGGCACCAACTGAAAATAATTTGAGTTCACAAGAAAGTAATTGCTTGGACTTCTTAATCTCGATTGGTATATGGGCCCCTTTATTTAAAAAAACGATGGGGATTGCTCAGTGAGTGGTAGAACACTTTGGGTGTGCAAGGCCTCAGGTTTGATCACCAGCACTGGAAAAACTAATTCTTTTGGATTCAGTATTGTCGAATTACGTTTGTTAAGCCACTCAAATACATAAAGCCATATTAATGCAAATATTGTTTACTCTTATGTACCTAGCGTTTTAAATTATAAAATAATTACATAGTAATCAAAATTTAAGATACTGAGGCCGTCACATTTCTGCTTGAAGTGTAAATACTGATACCAGGTCCTCTGGTGTGTTTAGTGTGATGTCTCTACTATTGTGTGCTAGTGAACCCCTTGGAGTTTTTCTGGCCAAACTGTGGTACCTGACCTTTTCTTGATATAAATACAGTTATATATTAAGTCCATCTCTTTTTTTAAAAGAGACAATTCTTTTAGAAAACTAAATGTTGACACTTGTTTCTGTTTTGAGACCACATTGATTATGAAGAATTACAGTAGTATATTACTTTGTTCAGGTCATGGCCTTCTGTGGGAATAAAAGTTTGTCGTTGCTGATGATAGATGACTTGATACATAAATACCATTTTAAACAGTCATTGAAAGTTCCATGATTTCCCCAGCACAGTAATCAGGAGTGCTAAATGCATATGTAGGTTTAGGCAGTTAACTATAGTTAACAGCGTTGTGCACCCCACAAAACCATGATTGCTGTGGCATCGTTTTTCCCTTAACCCATAGTCTCTGCATTTCCCTTTTAATCAATGTGGTCACCTCTCTCATGGCCAATTCTGTTCATGTTGTTAAGCCTTCCTTTAAATGTAGCTCTTTTCCTACCAGCCTTGGGATCAACACCATGCATTTGAGATTTACTTTTAAAAGACGGACTGTCCCATGAAAAATTTTTTATGCAAAACCTAACTCTAGCCCTGTTACTCTGACTCCTCAAACTTCTTCCCCCATGGCCTTTGTCTCCACTTCTAATATTTATTCCTGTTTTTCTTTTAGCCTGGTATTTATTTATTTTTGAGACAGGGTCTCTCTATTTAGGCTGGTCTTGAACTCGGCAGTCCTGTCTCCGTCTTCAAAGTGCTGGGGTTACATGTGTACCACTACACCTGAACCTTTCTGCCTCTACCAGTCCAATCAGCAGATGTCTTTCTCAACCTGTCACCCCTGTCCTTGGTTTATCTGGGTTGGAACTTTTGGCTTTACATACTTCTGAGAGTTATTGATGCCCAAGAAGCCAACCATGGAGGTAGTCATCGTAGTAGTACAGTTGTAAGATTAGTTTGAAACATTTAATTATGTCCTTTGAGTTAAAAAATTTCCAGTGTTTTTGAAACTAAAGATGAGCCCAAATTAGAGACCTTTTCTGTTGAGATTGAATTCTTTACTGCTGTGGTAAAACACATGGATCCGGCATTTAGAAATTTATATATTTTTATAATAGTTTTATTGTGTTACCTCCCATTTTTACTTATTTGGTATATTTTGAGAATTATATGCTATGACATAGGGAATAATTTCATTAGAATGTGGATATTCACATGTCCCAGATCTATTTGTCAAAAAGATTTCTTTCCTCATTGATTGGTCTTGATACCTTTGTGAAATACCATTCGATCTTAGTTGTCTGCAATTATCGCCCAAATTAAATGGTCTACATATCTACTCTTACTCCAGTATGACATTGTTTTGGTTAACTTTATACAGCTTTTGAAATTTGGAAATACGAATCCCTTCAAAATTTGTTTTTGTCCATTTTATCATTCCATAGGGCTTTTAGTGTCACCCTGCCCGGTTGGTGGGATTTTGAAGGGGACTTCATTTTAGGACTTTCTTACACATTTTTTTCTAGCATTTCTTACACATTTCTTTCTAGCATTACTAGGTATTGAACCCAGGGCTTTCACACTGAGCTACAGCCCCAGCCCATTTTTGAAACAGAATCTCCTTAAGTTCCTTGTCTACACTCACACTTCTGATCCTCTTACCTCATCCTCCCAGAGTGTTGGGATTATGTGCATACTCCCACTGCAGCCCTACCTGATGTTTCCATTTGAAGAATTTTAATTAACATTCTTTCAAAGCCAGGCTTGGTGATGTAGTCTTAGCCCTCAGGCTGCTGCTGAAGGAGGCAAGTTTGAGGAAGCTTGGCAAGACCTTGTGTCAAAAAACCAAAGCAAAGACTTTATTTTTTATTTTTTATTTGTCTTTTTTGTTTTTATCGGTACCAGGGATCGAACTCACGACTCCCTGCTTGCAAGGCAGGGGCTTACGCCGCTGAGCTAAATCCCCAGCCCAAAGCAAAGACTTTAAAATACTACTTAATGAAAACAATTTTAATTTGGTTACAAGAAATGTTAGACATTTATGTCTTTGTGGTTCTTTAGGGGAGGAGGTGGGGGGACCAGGAGTTGAACTCAAGGCCTCATGTTTATCAGGCAGGCAAGTGCTGCTCAGCTATAACCCTGGCCCTATGTGGCTTTAAAAGTATCAAAATCAGTATCTACAATTGTAGTTTTTTTATGAATGAAAGGTTATTGAGCTCTCTTTACCAAACATTTGGTATACTTTTTGTTAAACCCTGTATTAAGCTCTTGTACAAGGTTACTTAGTTTATGAATGTCATTCTAGTGAAATTGCCCTCCTAAAGTTTTCTCCTTTCAATATCAGTGTGTGATACTTCCAGGTAAGTTCATTGCCTTCCAGGTGTTACACTTAGCTTGCTTTCTGGGTGGACTAGGTCTGAGGTAAATAGCTGCTTAATTTTTCTTTAAAGTTAAAATGCGGATTAAGTTGATAAAATATGCTAATAATTCCCTCCCCGCTGATAAAAGATTGGCTTTTAACCCTGAGTTCACTGCTAACAGTTGTGTGATTTTTTAAAGTTGGTTTCATTTGGTAAATTGTATTAACTCAACAGAATGTTAGGTTTTTGTAATCCACCAGGCACTGTCAGTTG